AAAAGTTAAATTCTTCATATTTTTAAAACTAATTTTATTTGTACATTTTAGGTATACAATATAATGACATTCATCTTTGGAAATTTGTACCTTAAATTCTTCATATTTAAAACAAATGCATGCTATATTTTAACATCTCATTGAACTTATTTTTTAAATTAACTCTTTTCAGATGATATTATCAACAGTATGAACAGCATGGCCTTTGGTGCCAGAATAATGAATTCAAATTTCAAAACAATGACCTACTAGTTACATGGCCACTGCCAAGCCACTGTGGGATTTCAGTTTTCTGATCCTAAAATGGGTTAATCACCACTGCCCCAAGGATTTAAGAAAAAGAAATGTTGGTAAAATACAGTGCAACATCTGGTATAAAAGGCATACTTCCAACTCGAGTAAAGCAATTTTTAAATTTTAAGTATGAAAATAATAGATCAGACAACTGTAAACTCTTTTGTAGTCTTCTGAAATAGTCTGACATTCTTTGTTCACTGTTTATTGTGGTTTCACCTGACTTCAAGCACTGGCACCCAATGTCAGTTCCTGTGAGTTCGCAGTGAATATTACAGCAAACACTGTGAAATGAAATTTATTTACTTTACAAAATATCCCATGATAAATATGTTGTAAAAGGAAATGAGAAGAACACAAAGCAAAAAGAAAAAATACCAACTTTCCCAAGCAAGAATGGCAACAAAAAGAAAAACCAGTAGTTAATTGGATTTTTTTCCCCTTTTACATTAGTATTTGAGTTTTATCCAAACCAGGAGCCAATCAAAGAAATACCACCACACAGCATTTGCATACCTCTTCATCTCATTTTTTTCACAACAATAGTATTTATTGGACAGGATAAAAATGTTAATGTTTTATTTTCTTTAATAAAGATACTAAGATACAGTGGCTTACTCAAGACCACATAATCAGTAAACAACAGTGTAGTTGTGAAGTCAGATCCTGTGGCTATCATCTTAGGTTCCATGACACTGTTTTTCTAACTCCTAGGTTGTTCCTAACCTGACATTTTTAGTTAAAAACACCAATTAATTGTAGTGTGTCATATTTAATTAACTCATAACTGTTCAGAAATATTTGGTTATTTTGAGTAGCAGAGGTTAACTCTATGGACAAGTAAGAGCTTATGATATGATCAGAAAATAAAAACTCAAAACATTTTTTTCCAGTAGAGGAGCCTATAGAGTGACAAACATCTGATACCTTTCCTTCTCCCTCACCCCAACATCCACAACATACACACACACTGATATCCTTCCCAGCCTTCCCTGGATACTGCGCACAGCTCTGAAGAGCTAAAAGACGATCACAGCACCAGGTCTGCTGGTCCACCCTCTCACCAAAAACTGACAAAAATGAGTTATCACTTCACCTTCCACTTATGTCCCTATCAACCCAAAAGTTGACTGGAAGACTACAGATCCGAGGACATGCACAGGAAACTGTGCATCCTCCTCTCTCCCCCATTTACAGTGGTGAAGACAGCCTGATGGGGGAAGCACAATTTCCAGATGGATGCCTATCTCCATGAGCAGCAACTACAGATCAAGACTATTCAAATGTACTTAAAAGTTAACTGTACACGGGCCGGGGATTTAGCTCAGTGGTTCCGCCACCAGCCTCACGAGTTCGATCCCTGGTACCAAAAAAAAAAGTTAACTGTACAAGAACAGAGGATCAAAGTCCACATTTGTTCAGGTAGCATTACCAGAGATATTTTGTACACTCACCCTGTGAGTCTGACCAGTACCCAGAAATGTCTTTCATAAAGAGTTCTAAAATGTATCTCCTCTATTTAGTATTCTAAGTCTTCTAAACTGAGTTGACACATCTGATTTAAATCACTGCTTCCTCCTATAAAGCCCCACACCTTCAAAAGTGTTATCTTCAAGGGGAAGTGAGGGATTTGCAAAAGTCACTGTACCCTGTGCATTGTGCTAACACTGTGTTAACACCCAATCCAGTTCTACTTTTTGAGTTTTGGTTTGGTGTGGTGGTGGGGAGTACGTGTGTGTGTTTAGATAAAGTCTTAGTATGTAGCCTAGGATGCCTTGAACTCTCTCCTTCCACCTGCCTCAGCCTCCCAAGTGCTAGGATTATAGGCATGTGTCATTACACTCGGCTCTCAGTCCAGTTCTATCTTAAGCAGGTTTGAGAAATGCAGTCATAATCCATACTTTTTTGAGACTAAGGTTTAAAAAAAAAAAAAGGAATGAACAGACAAAACTCAGATATCCTATTATGAGTATTGATAATAATCCATCTTCCACCATTTCCTAAACTATAATCTCAGACTTCCACTCACCTTAGAAGATAAAAACACTCTTGTTTCTATTATCCTTCAGTTCAAAGGGTATCTTTTAAAAACTGCATATGAATAAGACTCAAGTTTCACGATTCCTTCTTTATGAAACTGAAATAGCTAAACCACTATACTTAGAAGCATCACTTTTTTCTTTTCTTTTTTTTTTTTGGAGACAGGGTCTCTCTATGTAGTCCAGGCTGGCCTTGAACTCTCAGTGATCTTCCTGCCTCAGCCTCTGGAATGCTGGGATTATAGGCAAGCAGCAACACACCTAGGTTCTAGAAGTATGACTTTTAAGAATTTTTTTTTAAGTCGTATAAAAAGGCTTCAAAATTACCATTACTGCTACCAGGACACCAGAAAACAGTCAGCTACTTATGTGAGGCACTGTACAAAGTACCTCACATAGTTTCAATGATTCCAACAACACTGTAAAGACAAGCTCTGAGAAGTTAAGTGAGGCGTTCAAGGCTATGAATCTAGTAAGGACACGTGAGAATTTGATCAAATTTACCTAGCTCCAAAAGAGTGTGTTTCCTCTTAAAATGTGCTACCATCCAATTTCACAATGGAATATAGGCAGAGTTATGAATATGTTTGTCCAGCAGTTCTAATAATTTCACCAAGGGGGGAGATCTCTAAGTTTCTAAATTGCAATCTCTTTTTGAAATCCAGAGCGAACAATCTAAACCCCACTTCTTTTCAAGAAGAAATCAACAAATTAAAAGAAGGGCTAGAAATCCTTTTAAAATAAACTAAATTTCATCACATATGTGCCAGTGAATTGTCACTCTGGACAAATCCCCAGTTAATGGCTCTCTTCTCTGTGCACTACCATTAGCTAGTACAAAAGCATTTCACCCACTTCAAACAGATGCTGAATACCTGCACAATGCTAGACTTTCTGGTAAAGAGGGTACAAACTAAATAAGACCCATCACAGCCCTCAAAGAATTAAAAGACCAAGGAGTCCATGTATACCAGGAGTACAGTTACCACTAGCTGGGCAATTACATGAACTGTGAGAAATCCTGAAACAAAAGTATGTATGAAATACTATCACAGCCAGGAGACAGAAAGCAACTGGTATGCTTGTCACATGACACTGTAAGTAGTATTTGTTTACATTACGTCCCTGACAACTCCTTCCAACCTCTATCTACCTCCCTCCCTCACAATCTGCCCCCCCCCGCCCACACACACACACACACACACACACACACACGCAAACAGCCACACAACCAGAAAAAGAAGCCAAAGAGCAGACTGTGACTCCTCAATGCCTATGCCTTAAGAGTATTTTCCTTATCTTCAGCAGAAGAAAGTTGGTTTTCAAGCTAAATGAGGCCAACCAAACCAGAAAAATCCAAAAATCACTTCATATTACTCGCTTGGTACGAGAAATCTAAGCAAAATATCACACACACACCACCCTTCCTCCCCGTATTTCTCAATTTTAACACACGGCAAAGGGATACAACTCAACTGAACATCAAATGACACTGGTTATTTTGTTCCACTAAGAATGACAGACATCAACCTAGTTTTACCCGGGTAATTTAAGCAGAATTATTCTCTAAGCCCAAAGAAACAAATTCAGTGAAATGGGTACACCCAAAACTTTACAATGGCCGTACTAAATGCAGTCCCCAAATCCCCAAGAGACCATAAAGAAATACAAGAACAGTAACTCTGATTAATACGAACTAATCATAACTCCTTTACAAATTTGCAAAGAGTGACCTTTCAAGAACTAAAGCATTTGTCCTGTTCTGATCAATTCAACGGTTTAGAAAAACTGAATAAGCCGCTTCTTCTGAAAATAAAACAGGGCGAGGGGGTGGGAGGTAGTAACCAAAAAAAAGGCACACTGCTTTGTACTTTGTATTTGCCTGAAGCAATAAACTCTCAAAATAACTTCATTAGGGAGTGTAAAAAGCAAAAAATGAACAACAATATATTGCTCAACCCAACTTTCATTGTGAATTCCTGAGTTCACAGTAGGATCTAGAAACAGTGTGATGGAATCCTTCCGTAAGAAGTTTTTTTTAACAAGTCTACCCTTTTTTAAGAAAAAATAAATATTGAGGGGTTTTTCGGGGGGGGGGTGCATCTTTTTACATACTGGTTGAATTCGAGAGGGGAAAAAAAGAGTTAATTAAGCCACACTTGCAAAAAGGAAAAGAAAAAAACTTTCTTTTGGTCTCGAAGGGTGGCTGCACTCGAGCCGGGTGACAAGTTGTGCCAGCCGGCCCGCACGGTTCCGGAGCGCGAGTGGTCGCGCGGGTCGGGCAGGCCGCGCCCCCGGGAGAAGGCGCGGAAAAGCCCCCGCAGGCGGGCGCGGCCCGGCGTGTTTACCGCGAGCACGCCCGAGGGAGCCGCTCCCTCGCGCCCGCAGCACTTGTTCGCCGCGGCTGACTCGGTCGGACCGGCACGACCCCGCGCGGCTGCCCGCCCCGGGACCGAACGGGGAGCCCTGGGGGCCGAGGATCCGTGGAGGCCGCGCCCCCCACCCGGGCAGCGGCGGCGGCCCCGGAACGGCACCGAGGGAGCAGCTCGGCGGCTGGCGGCAGACAATACGGAGGAGAAGTGCGGCCGCGCGCCCGCGCTTCTCGCCCCGACCCCTCCTCACAGCGCCAAACTTCCCCCAACTCCGGCAACTAAGTTGCGCTCTCACCTTTCGGCTCCCGGGGCACCCCCGAGGGCCGAGCCGGAGCCGCTCCACACCTTCGCCGCGGTGAAAGACAATAGGCGGCCGCTCCTCCAGCGGCGGCGGCGGCTGAGGCGGCAAGGAGCGGGCACGGCGGTCTCGACGGAGCCCAAGCGCTTCACAGCGGCTGCTCCGGCTCCGCGCTGACCCTGCACAACGCTCTTGCCCACCCGCGCATGCGCCACAAGCTGCCCGGGGTGGGCGGGGCGCCCGAGAAGGCCATCACGCCTCCGAGCCCTCCCATGAGTACGCGCAATTTCCAGGACTAAGAGCTGGGATTGCACGGCGAAGCTGCCCATCAAACTCTGTGCAACCAATTGGGAAGGTGCTGGGCGGTGTATTCAGGTTGCTGAGGAAGGCTGAGGTGGACCGCAGCTGCTGCCAGGCGGCGAAGTGATCAAAGTCGGGTGGCTGGCAGCAGCTGCTCGTGGAAATGCCCACCCACCTTCTCCTCCCGCCCCATCTCCGGAAACCGCCCTTCCTCTGCTGCCTGGTACATACCTGAACTATAGCAGTTGCCACACACAATGAAATGATTTATTCTTCTCTTCCTCCCACTGCTGTTCAGGAAGTGGGGTCATCTCAGACACCAACGTAGGAGATTCTTCGCTAGATACTCAACGAGTGTTACTTGGATGGGTGGATGGTGCAATGGCGGGATCAGAATTGTTACCGTGGTTTCATGAGCTTTGGGCTACTCGATCAACACAAAATCATAGGCTTCGAGTTGCGAAAAAGACCTCAGAAATCATCTGGTTGTTTCAGAGAAGCAAAATACTGTCCGTATGCCAGTGGTGACTCAAGAGGTCATATTAGTTTCTACATGAAGTCTATTGTAATGTGTATTAGGGGGAAATGCCTATCACATCAAACCATTGTTTCACCAATGTCATTTGTTAGGTCAATAGAAAGTTATAAAAAATGAGTCTACTTCAAGTGTTACGTGAACAATGGAGACATTTTATATGCAGCTCAAGAATATGCAAGACTAATTTATAGTGATTGGAGTAAGAACTGTGCTTACCTAGGGAAAGAAGGTCATTGGTTAGGAGAGAGCTAGCAGGAACCCCCCCACGTGATGGTTCTGTATTTACATCTGAGAATTGAGTACAAAACTATACATTTGAAACAATCCATCCAGCTGCACACTGAAGAATGGTGCACTTTACACATTTTAAACGTGTATTTTTAATATTACTTTTTAAAATACTATGATCAGTTATAGCAAAAAGAAAGAAATTGCAAATATGCAAATGACTCCATTTGAGAAACCTTGAACTGGACAGTTAGTTCACTACCAGTGACCAAATACCTGTGAGAGGGTATCGTGAGTACCTACTACCTGTTTCAGGCCCTCCCAGCGCTGAATGGCTGTAAATCCTAGAAATACTCCTAATATTGAGCTGAAATGTGCCAATTCTTGTATTAGTTCATCCTCACAGAATGATAAAAACCACAGCCAAACAAACCTAGTTCTTCTTGTGAAATTATTTTATTTCCAAAACATCTCATCATGCTTCTGGCCCTCTTCCACACTCAATCTAATCTCTCTCTGTCGGTATTTAAAAGAGAGGAGACTCCTGCATCCTAATCTTGACTTTACCACCATGAGCAGGTCACTCCTTGAAAATCTCCAGCTCCTGTAAAACAAGAGGGCTAAGCCCAAAATTCATTTGGATGCTGATGTTTGATAATCCCTACTCCTAAGGCCTGGCTGATCTGTTACAGAGGCTGATCTGTAGTCTTTGTAATAACTGCTGACAGTACCATTCCCTGCTGCTCACTTCACTGGGATTTCCAGGAAGCTGCAGAGGGGTTGAGAGTCCAGCACTTTTTACTGTCTCTGTGGGTCACCTGGAACACTTGTTAATGCAGATTCTGACTTAGTATATCTGGGGTTTTGGCACTGTGCATTTGTCAAAAAGCTCCCAGCTGCTCCTGCTGCTCCTGCTGGTGTTTTAGAAGCCCACTTTGAGAGTCAGGGGTCTAATCTAAATACCCCAAACAGCTCAGCCCCTCTGTCCTCTGTAGGAAATCTGCATGGCTGATGTCTTTGTATCATTCATGCCTCAGCTCAAATATCCATCCTCAGAGAAAAATCTTCCTTGGCCACTCTTTTTTTTTTTAAGAGAGAATTAAATTCTTCTCTGATTTCATGTGAAAATGGATGATACACTAGCTTCATTGCTATCTATAATTTTATCTGGTACCATTATTCAATTTTGATATAGTGCATAATTTGTGCCAACAATCTTTTTCTTTTCCTTTTTTTTTTTTGTTGCTAGGGATTGAACCAAGGGCCTCATTCATGCTAGGTAAGCACTCTATCACTTAGCTACACACCCAGCCCAATGATTATTTTTATAACCAAATAATTCCTTAACATTTTGGGGGTGACCCTTTCAATAGTGAAGCTCAGAAGGTCACAACAGCAACTGTCAGTTCACTACACCGAAGTTTCTAAAGATAACAACTTCTCTACCCAAAAGCAGTTTGTAAATAAATTTCAGATGAAACCTGGTATTACCCTAAAGGAATTCTAACTTCACACTATTGGGGAAATTTACCACAATGGCCTCAAAATAGAATAACTCTCCACTGCACATTATTAAAAAGACATTTACTCAGCATCATGACCAAATATTACATTTTGCAATCAATAGCATAAGTACAAACAAAACAGCAGAAAACAAACCACTATTATTCATTAAAACCCTTTGTTGGAATGTTCTACACTTTCCACAGAGCACAAATTAAAATTACTTCTTAGCCAGGCAAGGTACTGCATGCCTGAATGAATTGGTAAAGAAAGAGCTACTATAAGTTACCTTCAAACTGATGTCTCTGATATTAAGGATTGTTTTCTTCAAGGTGCACCAAATGTCTCTATGGAGTGTGCCCAATTCACAGAGAGATTTCAGAGTGAGATTTCTCACTCACCCTGTACCAGGAAAGATGTCAGGGTCTCATGAAGCAATGGTAAGATTTTCTATCTCTCCAATTGACTTATATCTCTCCAATTTATTTACACAGGTTGTAAAACCTAAAAAATATAACAAAGATAAGCCCCATTTTATAGAGTCCCCAACAATGCCAAAGCAAACAAAACAAAACCAAAGTCAACAGTTGAAAGAACATCAATTTTTCTTGAGATCCATAGTTTCTAAAATGTCTACTTTCGTTAAAGAAACACTAGAACAAACTCATCTCAGGGCTTTTCTTGTGTAGCAGTGAACATTTTCTTGCTTTCGTGGTAGAAAAAGTATTCTGATGTTGCCTTTGGAATGTCCACTTTCAGCCTCTTGTTTGGTATGAAGCCAACTTTACCACAGTCCCTCAGCTTGACCCAAACCTGTGCCAAACAACACACCCTATCCCTAGGCAACAAGATTAAGTTCAGGGTTGGTGACATGACCCCAAAGATGACAAGCAGGAGAAACAGGAGTAAATTTCACCCTCCATTTGAACTGCTGGGGTCTTTCTTAACTGGGATCTTTGTCTTAACTGGAATCTGGAACGATAAGTCTGCCTGCCATCTTGTCACCATGAGGAAAGAACCTTTCAGAATACAGTCAGCATAGTGGAAAAATAACAGACATGAAAAAAACAATGCCTTGGGGACACTGGTTGAACAGCTGAATCCAGCAATACCTGAAGCTACACTATGTAGATTTTTCAATTACATAAGCCAATAAAGTCAGTCAAAGGAAGTTTTTGTTATTTACATTCACAAGAGTTCTAATTAATGCACCCTCTATGAGTTGATGGTCTCTCCTCAATTCTCTGATCTACTTAGTTCAACTAGCAAATATCTGTTGAGTACACTGTGTGTAAGGCATTAGGCTTGGTTCTGGGGTTCAAGGTAAACAGCAAGGTTCCTGTGCTTAAGGGAAAAGAGTCAAGTGAAAGAAATAAGCCAAAAAGAGAGCAAATTTGTAAGCTCCTTTAAAGAGGCAAATGTAAGGTGTTAGGAGGCACAGAGACAACCTCTAGTCAGAAGGTGAAAGATCAAGGAAGGCATCTGTGTCAGTCAGCTTTCCATTACTGTGACAAAATACTTGAGATAAAAAGAGGAGGGGTTTATTTTGGTTCACAGTTTTAGAGGTTTAAGTCGTAACACATCATGGCAGGAGCACATGGTAGAAGAGGCTTTTTCACTTTATGGTGGCTGGGAAGCAAAGAGAGGCAGGAAGGGGCCACCCCCTAAATGGTCCGCCATCTTCCAAGCTGAGAGCCAGGCCATTAACATGTGGACTTGCAGAGGACATTCCAGATCCACACGATAGCAGCATCTGAGAGAACAGATAAACTGGGTCTCAGAAGATAATCAGCAGGAAGTGTGTGCACGGGAAAGGGAGGCCCTTCCCCAAAAAGCTGAGAGAAATTCAAAGGCACAGCATTATCATAAGCACAACACACATAGAAAACTGGAGAAGTGAAAGGTAGTAGGTGAAGGAAGAGTAGCAGAAGCTCCCTCATGAGTGATCTGATATGCTTCATGCTAAGAAGTTTGGTCTTCATCCTAAAAAGCAAGAGGACTTCAAAAATAATTGTAACCAATGTAACCACAGTCAGAACAGCTTTCCTCCAAGAAGGGTCATCTTGTCTCCAGATATCCTGAGGTTGGTAGATTAGGATGAGGGTGAGGATAAGGGAATCTCTAGAGAAACCTGACTCCAGGTAGACTGTTTTGAATTTCAGAGCTGAAGTTTCACTTCTATGGGCAGAGGGAACCCTTCTTTCTCAATATCAAGCACCATGCTTTCCAGTGTATGTGAGCCAGATATATGATTTTAAATTTTTTGATAGCCAAGTGCAAAAATTAAAAAGAAGCTGGGCATAGTGGCAAATGCCTGCAATCCCAGCACTTAGGAGGCTGAGGCAGGAGGATGGCCATGAGTTGAGGCCAGCCTGGGCTATGTAGTGAAACTCTGTCTCAAAAAGTAGAAAGAAATGGGCTGGGGATTTAGCTCAGTGGTTCCAGTGCCTGCCTCGTAAGGGCAAGATCCCAAGTTCGATCCCCGGTACCAAAAAGAAAGAAAGAAAGAGGGGCCAGGGATTTAGCTCAGCTGCACCACGCCTGCCTTGTAAGTGCAAGGTCCTGAGTTCAATCCCTGGTACAAAAAAAAAGGAGAGAGAGAGAAGAAGCAGGTGATACTTCTACTATCTTAGCTGAGCATGGTGATGCACACTTACAATCCTAGCACCCAGGAGTCCAAGTCAGAAAGATGGCCACAAGTTCAAGGGCAGCCTGGCTTACACAGTGAGTTCAAGGCCAGCCTGAACTTGCTACATAGGAAGACCTTGTCTCCCCCTACAAAAAACGATTTAGTTAACTATATCCCAAATATTATCATTTCAACATGTAATCAATGTAAAAATTTATAGGTTCTTTTTATTGTACTAAGTCTTCAAAATAATACAGTATGTATTTCACACATATGGCACATCTCAATTCAGACTAGCAAAATGTGTTTGTTTGTTTGTTTGTTTGCTGGGCTGGGAATTGAGCCCAGGGCCTCACACATGCTAGAGTTACCACCGAGCTGTAACTCCAGCCTTAGACACATTTCAAAATGCTCAGCAGGCTGGTGGCTTTTGTACTGGACAACGGAGATCAGGTTGACTGATCGTTTGTTGTCTTTCTTTGTTTTTGTTTCATTTTGTTTGTTTGATGGTGCAGGAGATTGAGCTCTTTCTTGGCTTCACGTATGCCAAGTGTGGTCTCTACCACTGGCCCACACTCCTGGGCTCCAGATTGGCTCCGATACAGACCCTTCATGGGGAGTCCCTTCCAAATCTCAGTATGTGCGTAGGGCATTAGTTCCTGGACTGTCTGTCTTTCCCTTGCATTATCTCATTTATTCTCCACAAAAACAGTTAGGCTGGCACTATTATGCCCTCTTTGCAAATCAGACAGGCTCAGGGAGATGAAGTAACCCATATGCTCCAAACCCCATAGGTACCATGATTAGCACAGTTTATCTTCCAAGAAGTGGAAACTAGGGAAAAGTTGCCAAAACTAATTTAGATTAGCACACAAAGCCAGGTATGGTGGCACAGGCCTACAATCCCAGCACTCTGGGAGGCTGAGACAGGAGGATCACAAATTCAAGCCCAGGCTGGACAATTAGGCAAGACTCTGTCTCAAAATAGAAAGGACTGGGGTATAGGTTAGGGAAAAGTCCCTGGATTCAATTCCCAGTATCACAAAATAAAGGGAAGAAAGAAAGAAAAGACAGACAGACAGAAAGAAAGACTGAACGAACCAGTTCACCAACTAGGACTGCCCTCATTCGGCTCTCAAACTTGACCTCCCATTTGCTTAAAACTGTAAGCAGTTAGCTTGTCTACAAAGTAAGTGTTCAGTACCACCCAATCCATGTTCAGAATATTTTCCTCCCATCTGTTTAAGAAACTCTACAGGCACAAACCAAAGAAATAGATTAAAGTTATATGTTGATTCACAGGTAAATATCAGTAAATGCTACTTTTCACTAAAATTATTGCCAGGCCAGACAGTATTAACATTTTCTGGAACCTTGATATACATTCATTGCAAACGGTCTCCTGAAGGGTTGTAATGATTTAAGATTTCCATCCTTGCTGTCAGGGTATCAGAGTACTTCACCCCTCTGATTCAAATTCTTCTTGTATAAAACAGAAAGGCCAAACCTTTAGAAGCAACCAGGGCTGTGCTTGAATCTTAGATGCTCAATTTTGTTGTAAAGGGATCACTCCAAGCCAATAGCCACACTATGACAAATGCATCAACAACCTCTGCATAACCCTTAGCATGTTGTCTGCCGCAATGCAAGTGCTCTTCTCACTTTAACTCCTTCCTCTGTGTCTCCTTTCAGAGGCAATAAAACAAAAGATAGTCTGTGAGTAGAACTGCTTTTCTTAAAAATAATATTAGAGAAATACAGGGAAACACACATCTTCCACAATTACAAAGAATCTCTTTAAAAATGCATATTGTTTGGGCCAGGGATTTAGCTCAGTGGTTTCGCCACCTGCTGTGTAAGTGCAAGGACTCGAGTTCGATCCCCGGTACCAAAAAAAATGCATTATGTTTTATATTGACCTCCCAATAGATGTGGCAGCTACCCAATCTCTTGTCCCCTAGAGGCCCTCAGCCTTTAATTAATATTTACCAGATGTACCGCTTATTGATAGAACAATATATTTAATTTCTGAAAACATTCTCTTCTCTATAACAGCCCTTTCAGCGATAGGTTTGCTTAAAGGCTGCCCATAGGGCCACATTAACCTTCTAAAGTCATTATATTCCCAATGATGGGAGGGTTAAGGGCTGCTGAGCTGATGGAGAGAATCAGAAAAGGTTTGGCATTAGGGGACCACCCTGACCTCAAACTAAGTTACTGCCATATTTTTCATTCTGGAGTCAAAGGGATTTCATGTTAGGGGTATAAAGGGGTCCAGAGATTCCCCCACAAAACAAAACAAAACAAAAACACCTCACAGTCAATTCGTAGAGTAGTATCATTTCAGCTTGGTTAGGTTTAGTTTGAGATTCATTCTAAACGTAGCTTCCAGCTTGGAGAACATGAGGAGATGGGGTCCGTTACTCTGCCTCCAGTGAGATTTATGGGTTGGCTCAAGTACTGCACATTTCCTCCCTCTGCCGTTTTCTTTATCCCCAGCCTTTTCTAGTTTATTCAGCTGCTCGCGTAATTATCCCCAATTATTTATAATGGTAGGTTTTTGAAGCTGGAGTTAGAGAAACACCATGTTTTTTGAGCCTTACACATTATTTAATAGAAATGGACTCCAACAGCTCATCTGAGTCCTAAGCCTAGGCTTTCTTAGGCAAATTTTTTTTTAAATTTGTTTTCATCTTTAATACATTATTTTTTTCTGAAACTATATAGAATTTTCAGTATTAAAGGAGAGAAGGGGCTGAAGATGTAGCTCAGTGGTAGAGCACTTGCCTAGCATGCTTAAGGATTTAAGTTCAATCACACACATGAGAGAGAGAGAGAGAGACAGAGAAAATTCTTATCTGCACACAACTGTTATCAATAACTGTAGTTTTTGCACAGCTTAATCTCTATCTTTCTTTCTCTTTTCTTTCTTTCTTTCTGTGCTGGGGATTGAACCAAGGACCCAGGCATCATGCACATGAGATAGATACTGTACCACTGAGCTATACCCTTTGCCCAACCTAGCTTTTCTTAAATTACTTTCTTTGAAACATTAGTATTTGGAGCTATTCCTTAGGAAAAGCATTGTGTGCTTAAATGAATACAAAAACTGCTTTATTCTATATTTCTTTCCTCTTGAGGATTCACTGTGCACAGTAGCATTACCTATTAGGACTCTGAGAAGCCTTGCATTAAAAAAAAACTATTTGGCCTTGTTTAATCCTACAGTTCTCCAACTTCTTTGACCATGAAATCCATTGCTCTTGGGAAACGCATTAATTCATCATATTTCATTAAGGACTCATTTTGAGAAACACTCCCTGAATCTAATCAACTCTCTTTCTAGAAAGAACAGGATAGATATTTTTTATTCTGAAGCATCATTTACAATTTACTTACTGTTGTGGACTGAATGTGTCTCCTCAAAATTTGTATCTTGAAACCCTAACCCTCAATGCAATGGCTTTGAGTTAGGGTCTTTGGGAGCTGGGGGTGTAGCTCAGTGGTAGGACGCTTATCTAGCATGCTGTAGGATCTGGTTCAGTCCCCAGATCCCCAGAACTGGAAGAAAAAAAAAAAAAGAGTTGGAGTCTCTGGGAGGTGATTGGTTTAGATGGGGTCATGAGGGTGGAACTCCCATGATGGGATTAGTACCCTTAAGAGAAGAGGAAAACACACCAGAGCTTCCTCTTCCTGGGATGTGAGAATATAACAGAAGAGGCAGTCAGAAGAGGCCCTTCACCAAAAACCTAACCAACCAACACAACATCTTGATCAAGGACTCTCCAGCCTCCCAAGACTGTGAGGAATAAATGTGTGTTGTTTAAATCACCCAGTCTCTGGTATCGGACCCTGAGCTAAAACACTCACACTGTCATCCATTTCAAAGGGATCTGGATTCCTTAGTCAAGAAAGGAAAATGGAAACTTCCTAAATCCTATATCCAGCCAGAACAGATCACTCCTAGGAGGTATCTACATGTACTTCCAACTTTGGGAAGCCTGCCTCTTCACCTGGATAGTTTGCTGACCCACTGACTCAGATGCAAAAATGAGATCTTTTCCCATCTGTTCCATGTCCTGCTTCCTCTTTCAGTTCTATCTAATCATCTCCAATACACTGCCTTTAATTGTGTCACAAATTGAGTCCAAGTTTCCCTTTCTTTCATCTTTTGGGTTAATTCATCATTTTTTGCCTGAATGATTGCATTAGGCTTCTCACTGGCTTCCTTGCCTCTAAAATCTTCCAACTAGTCCATATTTGTTTCTGTAACAAGACAGTTTCCTTAAAGTACAGTCCTGATTGGTCACATACCAACTCAAAAGACTTCAGTGGCTCCCTGCTATTTGTATAATAATGCTAAACACCTTAGCAGAGAATCAGAAGTAATTGATATCCAGTGTCAAGTTGTACAAAAATACACTAAACTTCTCTACCTAAACCCCGTTGGCCTCTAATCTTTGGCATGCAAACAGACCTTCTACTTAACTGAGAACACTGGAACTAAGTGTCTATACTTGCTTACCTGTCTTCTCTACAAAATATTTCACTATCTGTGTTAGTCAGCTTCAAGTTGCTACAAAACCTGAGATAATCAATTTAAAAGGAGGAAAGGTGTATTTTGGGTCCCGGTTTCAGAGGTTTCAGTCCGTGGTTGTTTGGCCTTATTGGTATGGGCACGTGTGTGGCTTGGTACATCACAGCAGGAACATGTGATGGGGGAAGCTGCTCATCTCATGGCAGCCAGGAGGCAAAGAGAGAGGGGAAGGGAATAAGGTTCCAAAATCCTCTTCAAGAGCTTGCTTCCTAATCCACCTCTACTGGGTCCCCACGGCCCAAATGGTTCACTACCTCCCAACAGCACAGGCAGCTGGGGACTAGTCCTTCAACACAAGCCTTTAAGGGAGAGTTAAGATTCAGACCATAGGGCTGGGGGTTTGGCTCAGTGGTTCTACCACCTGCCTTGCAAGCTCAGGGTCCTGAGTTCGATCCCTGATATAAAGTGTGGAGGTGCATGCCTGTGATTTCCAGAACTCCTGGAGCATGAGGCCAGGATCACTCACTAGTTGAAGCCCAGCCTGGGTGATTTAGAAAGACACTATCTCAAAATTTTAAAAAGGGGGATGGTGAGAACATAGCTCAGTGGGAAGCCCCTGGGTTCAACCCCTAGTTCCATGCACGCACACACACACACACACACACACACACATCACACACACACGAGCGCGAGCAATTCAAACCATAACACTACTCTCCAGCTTAATGTCATTTATTCCAGTCTCCTCGAGAATTTAAATTGTTTTACATCTTCAGTCTTTATTCCCTTCCTTTAAACTTATTCAAGTCTCTCTTATCCAAAAATATAAATAAATAAATAAATAAATAAATAAATAAAATAAAATCTCTGAACCAAATTCAATTTCTCTCTCTGTTCCCACCTCTCTCTTTCAGCACTTTTTTTTTTTTTTATGGTACTGGGGATTGAGCTTGGGTCCTTGCTCTTTCACCACTTTTTAAAAAATTCTTTTCAGCGCTGGAGGTTGAACCCAAGACCTTGGGCATGGTAGACAAGTACTCTACTACTGAGCTATAGCCCCAACCCCAGATATATTATTTTCCCTCTTCATTTTATTGCAATATTTTTTAAAAGTAAAAATTAATATACAAAAATCTATGATGAACAATATGTCAAGATTTTGAAAAAAAGATAGGATCAGTATTTTTAATCTTTTTTCTTCTGCCTGAGGCACTGATATGATTTGGCATTGCACTGTTACTGATCCTGTCATTATTTAAATAGTTGGTCTTTTCAGTGGGGCATAGTGACATGTGCCTGTAACCCCAGCACTCTGGGAGGTTGAAGCGTGAAGATCTCAAGTTTGAGGCCCAGGGCAGGCATTTAGCAACTTAGTGAGACCCTGTCTCAAAGTTTAAAAAAAATTATGTATTCATTTACTTATTTTTTCAAGCAGGATCTTGCTATGTAGTCTGGATGGCTTTGAACTCACCATATAGCCCAGGTTGGCCTCAAGCATGCAGTGATCCTCCTGCTTCAGCCTCCATAGTGTTGGGATTCCAGGTGTGTGCCACCTGACTAGGCATTATTTTTATTTTTTAAACATATTTTTATTTCAGTTTTAGAACATTTTATGTACATGTACATGTTTGCAGTACATAATGATTACATTCATCATGGGGAGTTGGTACATGCACACAACACATCTTAATTCTTTTTAGGTCCCCTTCTCCTCCCCTTCTCCCTTCACCCTCTTTCTCTTGGTCCTCTTCACATTTGCAAAAGGTCTGTCTCCCTGTTTGCTATTATCTATCTTTCATATTGATCTTTAATTTATTTGTACCTTAGGTTTCTCATATAAGAGTAGCCATGTAATATTTAAGTTATGTGTCTGATTTATTTCACTTAACATTATAGTCTCAAGGTGCATCCATTTTTCCCTCACAGGACTTGAGTTTATTCTTCTTTATAGCAGATATATTCTTTTTTTTTTTTTTTTGACAAGTAACATTACTTTTATTTCCATTTATTTTATGCCTAATTTATTTCCGTGCCATAAGTTTTTGCTTCTTCAGTTTCTTCTGGGATATCTTTTTCTTCTGTGCAACTTCCTCCTCTAGTTTAGGAACAATTTGTTCTTTTTCAGTAAGGATCATCTCGATGTGGCAGGGGGAGCTCATGTATGGGTTAATCTGGCCATGAGCTCTGTAAGCATGGCGGCGCATCTTGGGTGCTTTCTTCACCTAAATGTGTTCAATGACCAGAGAATCGACATCTAAACCCTTAAGCTCAGCATTACTCTCTGCATTTTTAAGCATGTGCAGCAAAAATTCAGCACTCTTTTTGGGCCACCTGCCCTGTGTCCAGCCCCACTGTTTGGCCTGGGCACACCTACCAACTCCACTGTTATAATGCCTGAATGGCACACGTTGCTTCTTTAATGTGACATCCTTCAGATACTTGGTGGCCTTTTGGATATGCATACCCTTGATGGCCTGGGCAGTTTCACGGGTGTTCTTAAAGTGAACACGAAGATTTGAGCCTCTTGATTTGCATGATTTTGTGGGGTTTTCTGGGTCAAGAGAGTATCAAACCATTTTCACAGGTCACCTCTGGCCACTTACAGGAAGAGCTATAATAGATATATTCTTAAGACACTGTCCTAGCTCTCTTTTTTCCTTCATTTTTAGCCTGACAATCCCATCTCCTTATTGCTTGTTCTCTCTTAAAATCAATTTTATTAAAGTGAATATACATTTAAGATAATCGCCCATTCTCTGGGCTTGGTGGTGGATGCCTATAATCCCAACACTCGGGAGGCTGAGACAGGAGGATTGCCATGAGATCAGAGCCGGCCTGGGCTCTGAAAGAACCTGTCTCCAAAAAGCCAAAAAAAAGAAAAGAGAGCGAAAGAGAGAAAGAGAGGGGGAGAGAGAGAGAGAGAGAGAGAGAGAGAGAGAGAGAGAGAAAGAAAGGAAGACATCCATTTCATCTGTATAATCGATGAGGGTGACAGGTGTATAACCACTCCACAACCAAGATATAGAACATTACTGTGCACTCTAGATGTTTTCCTGTGCCCCTGACCAGTTGATTCCTACCATCATTCAGGTCTTGATTTGCTTTCTATCCCTGTAGGTAAGATGGATCTCCCAAGTGTTCACTTAGATGGAATCGCAGAGTACATGTCTTTATCAAGGTACTATTAATTGCTGTGTAACAAATTACCCTCAAATTTAGTTTAATTTATCCTACAAAGTTTCTGAGGTTAGGAACCTATAGGCACTGGGATGGGTGATTCTAGCTCAAGTTGTCTCCAGAGGCTGCAGTGTTCAGGGGGAGTGTGGTTTGGGGACTGAGAGGAAGGGTTCACTTCCGGCTGTTGGCAGGAAGTTGCACAGCCTTGCTATTTGGCTTCTTCCTAGGACTGCTGACAGGGTGGCTTCTTACAGACTGAGTGGAGATGAGAAAAAAAGAGAGACAGAGACAGACAGACAGACAGACACACACACACACAGAGACCAACACTACAGACTACATAGTCTTTGACTCATGTACCAATGATTCTGCCTTATTGTTTTCATTAGAAACAAGTCAATAAGTGTAGCGACACTGGAGGAAAAGGGATTTCACAAAGGATTAAATTTTAGGAGGTGGGGCAGATCAGGAGCCATCCTGGAGGCTAGCTATAACAGTTTATTCTCTGGTTCTCTATTGATACATCTTCTTCCCATATGTAAGGTATACTCACAACCTCCCACAGCCCTCAAGAATCTCGCCATTAATATTGGAAGTCCATGGGCTGGGGATTTAGCTCAGTGGTTCTGCCACCTGCCTCGCAAGCATAAGGACCCGAGTTTGATTCCCAGTACCAAAAAATATATATATATATATTGGAAGTCCAGAAATTTACAGTCTGAATGAGGTCCAGTTGCGAATAAGTCTCCTTAGGTATATTCTTTCTGTATACCTCCTCAAGCGTAGTTTTGCTTTGTTTTGTTTCTTGGGTAGTGTTGGGGATTGAACCCAGGGCCTTGTGCATGCT